TATGAATAACCTATATACTTACACCCTGGTAATTTAACGCGTAAGTGAAAGAACAAAGAAGTAATATTTAATAGAGATGATAAAATGTATGCACATTATTTTATGAATGAATTATATGCTTACGCCCTGGTAATTTAACACGTAAGTGAAAGTAGAGGTTGGATCCTTTGAATATCCATCATGGCTATTCAGTAAATATTTATGGGTTTTGATGTTCGCGAATAGCATTGAATGAATATCCAGATTTTGAATAGATGCTCATCTATTAATATAACCATGAATATTCATGCGCAAATATTCATGAATATTCATGAATCAATTATACAATTACAAACCCTTGACTATTCATGAATTTTGTGTAACCAGGTATTGAATATTCAATGAATATCCATCTCTAACCGTGAATATTCATGGATCCAACCTCTAAGTGAAAGAACGGAGAATTAATAGTAATAGATAACTATGGTCATTATGATTTACTAATTGTTATATGACCTGTTAAGACCAGTTATGACCCGGTCATATTCCAACACTGGCTTATTATGTTGATAAAAATAAGTGTTGTGTACTATTAAAACTTTATGCAGCTCAATGAACGTAAATTTTAAAATAGAAAAATAAAAATGCACCTCTATGAAGAGTTTATTATATATTTGGCAAACATGTAAATCATTATTCCTATCAAGGTAATTTATTCTAATCTATTAGGAAAAAATTTATTAATTTACATGCAATTCGATTTTAAGAATCACTAAAAGTATAATTACGTCATTTCTGCAGGTCTGTATCACTGTGATGATCAGCGTAAGTTTAGCTCAAAGATTTCAATTAAACGAAAGAGCCAGTACAAGTAATATTTTATTTGATATATTTAGGGGAAAAAATAATGAAATAGTGTAGGTAAATATTACTTTTATTAGACAAATTTATTACGAAATAAGGTCTTTTTTATTTAATATTAAGTTGTTTTTTTTTGACAAGCGATCTAGAAAATGAATATAGTAATTGAAAAAAATTAAAATTTAATATATTAGAAATCAGAAATTAGTCTTAAATAAACATAAAAGAGCGAATTTTCTTGCGTGAATCAATACTACAAGCGTAGTTTCACGTGACAGTTTAAAAATTATAAATACAACCCGAATATAATAAAAAAGTTTTGGGGGCATGCTCAGATCTATTAGATCTATTAGATCGATCAGATCGATCAGAACGATCAGATCTGATCTATTAGATCTGATCTTATAAAATTTTTCTATGAAAATCATCTCCGTTTTAGTCTAAAAGGAAATGTGGCGGATCACGAGCAATATTGCAACCAATAAATGAGATGCCCAACGACAGAAAAAGCTTAGAGTGGGTTAATTAGTGTGAGACAAACATGAAGTTGGTCCAACGTGAGGTCAATTAGTATTTTTTAAGATTATTAATCACTGGCAGACTTTAAATACTAATTAACCTCACATTGGAACCAACCTCATGTTGGTTCCTCACAATTATTATGCAATTATAAAAACATATTTGGTAGTATCAAAAGTAAAAATGCAAAATGACTAGTTAAACTTGGTTAATAGTGAATTTTAAGTCGAGCAATTTTTTATCTGAACTTTTATTAACTAACTGATTCACAGCAAAACTAACTGTAGTTAATATTTATATTAAAATTTCCTTTTTATCAAAGAAGTAGATATAAGTGTCGTCAAAAGAAAACCCGACAATCTAAAAATAGATCACGTAGTCATTATGAAATTCATAAGTGATCTAAGTGATCTATTTTTAGATTGTCGGGTTTTCTTTTGACGACACTCATATATACATATACAGTCAACCTCTCTAAATGCAATGCAATGGGCTATATGTAAAAATTTAGCCAAATGGGGGTGTTAGTAGAAACCAGGCAAATTGTTTCTAAGTAAATTTTTGTTAGACTTTAAATTAAAATATCTCAACAACTATTAAACCAAACTTGGTAAAATTTTTTATATTAATGCTATATGTTATAGAATTAAAATAAAAAAAATTATTAAGTTTGGTTTAATAGTTGTTGAGATATTTTAAATTGATGTTTTAAAAAAACTTACTAAAAACAATTTGCCTGGTTTCTACTGACACCCCCAGATGTATACTTAGAGAGATATTTACATTTAGGGAGATAAAATCTATATACGTAATACTAGTAGCGTCCAAGAGAAGATATGTATTTAAAGAGGCTTTTCATAGAATATACACTTAGGGGTTGCATTTAGGAGTCTGACTGTGTACGGAAGTAGCTACCAATTCTCACTGCTAAAACATAACCTAAAATAAAGGCTACTCGAAGAGAAGACAAGAGATTTAGTCTGAGAACCAAGGATCCTACTGCTACAAATCTAGAGTTATTATTGGATGGTTGCTTTGTATAATGAGATCCATATTCTTGAAATTTATAATAACATTATATTACATTATACTATTTTTAATAAATTCATATTTCAATTATTGCTTTTTTTATATTGTTACATTTATAGTCTATAAGTTTTTTATCAAACTAGCTTACAATAGCCAAAAACTCTATTAACTGATTAACTAATTTAATAATTCTAGAAAAAAATATTTTTTGTAAATTTTTTTTTTTATTAAGACAAACTAGAGGCAATTTGCAACCCGGACTTTGATCTTTTTTCCTAATAAATAAATGAGTTAATTTTAGATAAATTAAAATATTAAAAAATATAAACAATTTTAATAAAACATTAGATACCTTTAATGATTTATAATTAAGCTGATATTCTAAAATAATTGGTAACATTTCCCAAAGTGAAAATTCTGGCCAAAAACAATTAACAAAGTGGATATAACAATTTTTATGACACTAAATAATATAAAATATTAATTAAAATAGTATTATCAAATTTTTTAATATAAAATCATATCAGAACAAACCTGCCACAATAGAAAATCACTTAATCTAATTTCACCTGAAGTTCTAATAAGAATATCTAATAGTGGGCTACCATAAGTATATAAATAATTTTCTATTATTTCTTCATTTATATCTCTACAAAAGTTTATTTTTGTTTACTATTATATATTATATATATATATAAATGAACATAAATATGTAATAAACAAACCTAATTTGCATATGACCATTTTCAACTGATTTTATAACAGATTTTATAGATGAAGTTATTTCATCTTTAGAAGTATAAGGGACACATATATTCAATATTGATCTAAAGAAAATGATAAAAAGATGGATTCGTCAAATTTATTTAAAACAACCAAATACACTGTATTATAATTCGAATAGATATAATAGAGAAAAATTACCCAGTGTTATGTTTAGTAGCATCAACAGCTTTTTTTGCAGCTTCTTGAACATCAACTGGAAGAAGTGCAATGTTTCCTAGTATTCTCACACATACATCATATTTATTGACTAATTGGCTGTTATTAAAACCATTAATTAGTTGAAAATAAAGATAAAAAAAATTATTATAATGATATAATATGCTTACCTTTTTTCGCATAGTTCTACAAACTTATTTTTAGCAAGCTCCATAAGAGTATCAACCTCTTCCTTTGGGCGTTTAAAATTCTCAATACTAAATGCATATATAGTAACTACTTTGACTCCAAGGTGTAAACATATATCCAATACCTATTCATTAATTTAATTTTTAAATAATGCTATGAACATAATATTATAAAGGGAATTATTTTTTATACCCCCAAATTTATTATTCATACCCCCTGCAAAAATTTAACTTTGAAAAAAGATATCATAACGACCACCAAGTTAAATTCGATAAAATTTTTTTTGTTTGAATTCTATGAATTCGTAGAATTCGAACAAAAAAAAGTTCATCCAATTTGACTTGGTAGTTGCTAAGTTATCTTCGCTCAAAGTTTAAAAAAAAAATTCAAAATAGCTATATTAAAATTTTTTCTAACTTTGAGCGAAGATATCTTAGCAACTACCAGGTTAAATTCGATGAAATTTTTTTCGTTTGAATTCTATAAATTCATAGAATTCAAATAAAAAAAGTTTATCGAATTTGACCTGGTGGTTACTGAGATATCTTCACTCGAAGGTTTAAAAAAGTTCAAAATGTCTATCAAAACAAAAGCTGCGTCAAAATTTTTTTCAAACTTTGGACAAAGATATCTCAGCAACCACGAAGTTAAATACAATAAACTTTTTTTTATTTGAAGTCTATGAATTCATAGCATTTAAATAAGAAAAGAATTCATTGAATTAGAGTTTGTAGTTATTGAGATATCTTTGTTCAAAGTTTGAAGAAAATTTTGCGCAGCTTTTGTTTCGATAAACGTTTTGACCTTTTTTTAAATCTTTGAGTGAAGATATCTCAGCAATCACCAGGCCAAATTCGACGAAATTTTTTTTATTTAAATTCTGTAAATTTATAGAATTCAAATAAAAAAATTTTCATCGAATTTGACCCTGTAGTTGCCACGATATCTTCGTTCAAAGTTTGGAAAAAAGTTTGGTATAGCTTTTGTTTTGACAGATATTTTGAACTATTTTAAACTTTGAACGAAGATATCTCAGAAACCACAAGGTCAAATACGATATACTTTTTTGTTTGAATTCTATGAATTCATAGAATTCAAACAAAAAAATGTTCATCGAATTTAACCTGGTAGTTGTTAAGATATCTTCGCTCAAAGTAAAAAAAAAATTTAATATAGTTTTTTTTAAACTTTGAGCGAAGATATCTTAGCAACTACCAAGTCGAATTCGATGAACTTTTTTTTTTCGAATTCTATGAATTCATAGAATTCAAACAAAAAAAAAATATTCATCGAATTTAACTTGGAGATCGCTGTGATATCTTCTTTCAAAGTTAAAATTTTTGCAGGGGTATGGATAATAAATTTTGGGGTATAAAAATAATTCCCTATTATAAAAAGACAAATTATAAAAATAATACCTCTTGAAGTTTATCATAACCCATAAAATGACCTTCAACGACTTGTTTATAATTCATCTTTCTTGCAAACCTACGATTCCCATCCATGATAAAACCTAAATGCTGAGGAATCGGTCCTTGTTTAAGGATTTTGATTAGTAAGGATTGAGCATGATGACTTATATAGCTAATAGGAGAAGTTAAAAAGTTTGGAGTAGTTTTTAATGATGGATCTGTGTTTTGACTAATATCTGTAAGGTCAGAAGAAGGCATTATGGTATACGTAGTACGTAGGACATGTAAAATTAGATCATTTTATACGTAAGACTAAATTGGTTAGTACGTACATACGTATCTAAATTTCACATGATTTTCATGCTATTCATTAATCAACTACATACTGTACGTACTGTACATACGTATCAGTTTTAAACTAAATATACAGTACCGGTACATTACGGCCAAATTTGATAATCTTTTTTCATTATAAAATATGACGCGTATACGTACGTACGTAACCTTCATAACTGGTAATATTTAAATAAAAATTTCAATAATAAAATATTCAAGCACGTAAGCACAACTCTTTTTATTTTGCGATGTTTAATCAATGAAATTGTATTGAAAGAATGGATAGAGGATTGGGAATTCATATTCGTTCTCTGTAAGATTTGATTAAAATAATGGTTATACAGATTTCAATTAATCACTAATATCTAATGTCGGGTTTTCTTTAAAAAGAATTTCAATAATATTCCAACAGAAATTTTTATTGAAATATGTGTCGTGCCTGAAGTTGCAACTTCAGGCGCCTGAAGTTGCACTTGACTGAAATTAACCCCTGAAATTAGATCATATTGCATGCATTAATTAGTAATTTTAGGTAATTTTAGGCAATTTTAGGCAATTGTAACTTCAGGCGCCTGGAGTTACAACTTCAGGCAAGTGTCAACTTCAGGCACGACATATGCAAGTATATCGCTCCATTAGATCTAGTTAAACTAAGTTTGGTATGTACTGTAAAAAATAATGTTGCAGTACATGGTTAAAGTCACAGAGACACCCACAACAAAAAAGAAAATATAAAAACAGAAAAGCAAGAAATAATAAAAAATGAAAAAATGATAAAAAATTATAAGATAAAAGTAAAAAAGAAAAAACGGGTAAAATTTTTTGATTTTGTGATTATTAAAAATTAATAAATATCATTTTGTAAACTTTATTCAATTATTTGTGACTGTGATATTACGTAATTGCTGGTATATATTGCAAATGTTGATACTTCGGAGGTTCGTTACATTTTATGTTGATACGTATACATATTATAAATTAAATAGTCTTTCCATATTGATGTAAATAATGTAAATAACGAAAATATTTCTTATCGAAATTGTAAAAATGCAAAAGTCGTTACAAGTTTGTATTAAACAATGGTTATAAACGTAAAAAATTTAATATTCATATAATAAATATAAAATTTAGGACTCAAAATTATTCAAAGTACCTATTTCTTAAAATCCATAATCGTGTAATGTTCAAAATTTTACTTTAGTTGACTGCACTTAATAATAAATAAAAACATATTTAGGACTTCAACAAATTGTCGGATTTACCTATTCCACTCCAACGAATACTTCCATCAAGTTATGAATATAAAATTGAAAATTATAGTGAATTAGAATCTATTATTACTGCGGAAAACGTAATAATTGGACAGCTTACAGTTGACTTATCCATAAACATTAAAAACAAAGAAAGCACCTTAGAGTGGTTTAATGAATTTCAAGAAATATCTAAGACAACAATGCGACTGACACGAACCTACCAGCTAAAGGGAATAAAATTGTGTTTTTATGTAGTTATAGCGATTATGCTATTCATAATATGTATTGGCAATTTGGCATTAAAGTTCGCTTGAATTACTGTATGTTTATTATGCTAAAAAAATTCGGTATTTTTTTATTTACATTTTTAAGACTTGAACGCAATATATTGAAATTTAAATTTAACATTTTTAAGACTTGAACGCAATATATCGAAATTTAAATTTAACATTTTTTTTGACTTGGACGCAATATTACTATTTGAAGTCCTCATCAGTTGGAACAAGTGTTTCAAAATAGCTAGACCATTTATCGTATCGTAAGAAATCCAGTACAGTAAAATCGTAAAGTTTTTAGCACTTAGTTATCTATAATTTTTAAAAAAATTGTCTAATTAAAATTTTTTTTAGTCAAACTTTTTCAACCGTTTCTTTTCTTAAAGATCGTAGTTTACTGTAGTGGCATTTTCTAGCTGGCCTCGTTCGCCGATTTTCTTGAAGCTTTGCGTTATTTTCGAGCTGTCCCCTTTCTCCTATTTCAGCAATAGGGATGCTTTGAGAGTACAATAATAAATAAATAAAAAAATGGATATGGATTATGTAATTTGAGCACATGATGAAAACATTAAAAGATCACTCACCTTTCTATTTTAGGACCAATGTCAAAAAATTAGGACCTTTGGTCCGGCTAAGAACGATTTCATATCGATAAAAATATTATACTTTTATTTGAATCAAAATCACTGATCCAAATTTTAAGTAAATTTTAATATCGATATAGACAGGCATCTATCTGCAGTGTAGAGAACCAGGGTTCGAAACCAGTTAAAAGGAGCTGATTGATGCATATCACGTAGTGTATGGTTATACGGCAATCGAAAATGATGTTGTTCCGCAAAATCTTAGATCTGATTGGTCCACACGACTCTAACTGTCACCTGTTATTTATTTTCATGTGTCAAGCATCACATTGTATGACTATCACAAGAAATACGCAGGATGTGTTAAGACGAGGCCGTAAAGGTACGTAGACAATAGATCAACGTAAATTACAAACATGTTCACTGGAATTGGCAGTTTTGGAAAATTTTATAAAATTTTACAATCGTATTAGATCACCGAAATTACAATATGATACCACAGAATTGTAAAGAAATTATAAATGTTACCATAGAATTAGAGAAAAATTTTATCACATTAAATCACAGAATTTGTCTTAACCACGCGCAGTGTTCAATCTTAACTATCGCAGAAAATCATCGGCCCTGTTCCCAATTAATGATGCAAAACAATAAATAATAACCAAATAGAATATATATTTTTTAATAAAAAGGTATAAGAATAAATATATTTAAAGTAAAAGAATTATGTGTATGTGGAGTATCTATCATAAATTGAAAAAAAGAATTTTAACGCAACACTTACATTTACAACTTTATGAGTAATAATATGGTCGATTTAATATCTATTAGGTTCCCAATTATCTGTATTTTCGTCTCTAGAGTTGTGTCTCAAATATTCAACATCATTGATTCATTTTCAGATTTATCTCATCTTCATCTAACGAGAGACCTCTAGCATGGACCATAGCACCAGTAGTACTACATGCAATGATTTTTTTATACCTTCTCTATGTCCCATAGGCATTTTTGGTAAAGTAATGTATATTTTGTATTCGTGGTTGATAAGGATTCTTTAGACGAAAATATACTAGAATTGATACTTTTATTTTTTTTTATTTTGAACTTAATGGTTTGGTTTTTTAAAGAATTGTATCGTATTGAAACAATGTGGGAAAATATAAATGCTTTGCATAGACCAACGAGTCGAATTTATATTAGAATGCGTATATATTTCAAGATGGAGATTGGACAATTTTTATCAAAACAACCTTGCATCTATCAGTAATGCAAACCACGTGAATTACGTATTTATCTCTAACTAAAAACTGCGTGATTGAGATTGGCTAATAAATTTGATGTACATAAACAGTCACATAAATGAATTATAAATTATTGGTCATCTCATTAAGCATGATACACCAACTTGATACATTTGAATTAAAATTTAATTACACAAAATTTTACA